TTTTTTTTTTTTTTTTTTTTTGTGGTCTCGTTCCCTACATTTTATTATCATATTGTGGACAAGTTAAAATTTTGGAAGATCTTACGGTACCGTTATGGAATTATTCCGTTGGGATTTGTAATCGTTAGATTAACTATTTCTGACAGTTACATAATGATCTAACGGTTATAAAACTCGACGAAATGGTTCCGTAACGGCTATAATTTTATTACCAAATATTGTTTGCAATATTTACTAGTATGTAACCCGTGCGATGCACGGGCTAGTACATGTTTTGAAAAAATTTAAAAAATTAAAAGGTCATTTATTAATAAGTTGTTATAACACGTATAACATTTATAAAGTAAACATAAAATCGTCATTGACAAAAAATTATACATTATTAAAAACCTCTGAGTGCATATATATCGTCTTGCTTAAATACACCTCGAAATGCACACATATACGCAGAACGTATAATGGCAGTTATTTGCGCACCCTACAATATAAAGTTATACAAAATAAGTTAAATTAAAAAATTACGTATGTTAGTAATACAAATATAACAAATCAAAATATTACCTCACGATCTTCAAAAATGATCTCAAAAAAATTATTGGATTCCACGTCAAATTTCATCTCAATAATTAGAATTGCTTATTAACAGCATGGAGTGTATCAAATAACTCTCTCATTTTTTTTAATATTTTCTGAAAGTTCTATGCGTTTTTTTTTTATGGACAGGAATTGGAGAAGTTGATAAAATATGTTATTTATATATATAGAAATCAATTAATATATATTAATTTCAATTAATTTAATTGTTGAGAGTGGCTTTTAATTACAAACTTATTGAAAGGAAATAAAAATTGGATGGTGTAGGATTTTGGGTATTTTATAGGAATGTAAATACTAATCTTTACGTCCAACTTTAATTAATCGATGAATTGAAATATTAATATTTATTTTTTTGTTGGCAGACTCCAAAAAAATTGCATAATATGCGGCCACAAAATGTATCTTATGGATTTGTACATTTGTTTTTTATCGTGTAGAAGATATAAACTATTTTGTATTAAATCTGCAAAAGTGTAAAACGTGTTGAATAAAGCAAAAACGCATATATGCATTTGGTTCGTAATGATTTAATTTCCTTTTACTGTACATATTAGTATTCCTTTTTGATTTAATTTCCGATACCTCAAAGAATTAGTATTATTTTTTGATTTAATTTTCCGACATGGAAGATATGATTTCCGTTTTACAATCATCGGCAATTTTCGTTTTACAATCATCGGCAATTTATAGAGTTTTTTAAATATTTTTTATACTAAACGATTATATATATATATATATATATATATAGAGAGAGAGAGAGAGAGAGAGTTTTAATAGATATATAGAAACATGTTTAATTCATTATAATAATTGATGTACGTCATTAAGCTTAATCTTTATAGAAACACAGTTAATTAATCTAATTTATTATAGAAACAAAAATTTATACACGCATAAAATATTAATTGATTATAGAAACAAAATTTATAGAAACACAATTAATTAATTTATAGAAACAATTTACATAAATGAATCTTCCAAATGTATTATTATATTATTTAATTAGTTGATTAATTGATTAAGCTTAATATTTTTTTTAAGCGCATAAAAGAAAAAAAGAATTCGATATTTTATTTTAAACAACAATTGGAACTCAATAATTCAAGCGTGTAAATGTTACTTAATCCAAACGAATGAGAGACGTAATATCACGATAACAAATATAATAACACTAAAATTCATAATTCAACGACATGGAATGACAATAAAACATAATAAAATTAATAAAACAATAAATATATTAAAAATAATAACCTTCAAGGACATGGAAGAACAATGAAATTCATAATTTAAATATATTAGAAATAAGTTTGATATTATTAATGAAAATATTTAACTGTTCATCATGAAACAATATATGGAATGCGTTCCAGCTCTCCCGTTCGTGATGCGTTTCAATTATTCGGACTGCTTTCAATCGCAAATAAGGTTTGTTTGTCCTACTCACGGAATCGAGTGTATCCCAGACCGACTGCATTATATTATCGATGTATTCTAAAATTTATCTATATAATTTTTTTTTTCTCTGAACGCTGTGAATGAAGTGAAGAAATAATCGTGGTAGTGAATATCCTTTTATACAAATTGTTGTTTAGCACGTTGGTACCTAAAAGAGTGATTGATATTATTTAAATGGAAAGATATTGTTAAGATTTTATCATATAAATGATTTATATGGAGCCTTAAAAGAGGAGATTTATTATATGAAGAATTAAAAAGATGAGATTTATTCCATAGTATCTGCAATTAGTGCTTGCTGTTTTGTTAATAGAGCCACAAAAAATCGGAAATCTTGGCGTGAAAAAATAATTTATTCCATAAACAATTAATGTTAATCCGAAATAAATAAGAGCAATTTTAGGAAATTATGTGCAATTAATGCTCGTTGTTTTGTTAATGGAGTCACAAAATGATTTGTTCCATAAATAAAAATCGGAGATAATGGCGTAAATGATTTATTCCATAAAAAAATTTATTCCCTAAAAAAGTTAATGTTAATCGGAAATAATTAAGAACAATTTTAGGAAATTATGTTAATTTACTATTTTTAGGCTATAATTAATGAATTTAGCGGGAAATAGTTTCTAAAATTGAATTAAGTTAATCCTTATTATATATTAATAGATTTTCTAAATATTACTGTTTATTACTGTTATACCCCCTGAATACGTACGTCATTTTCGGGAATGGTATCACACACGAAAACGAAGATTATAGAACATGCCAACTGCCAAGTCATACAAATGATATAAACCCCTTCACCACCACAAGAGCGGCAAAGCTCTCCCTCAAGAGTTTTAACACGGCTGCATTCCTAGGATTCGAACATGAGACCACTGGTGCTCTCCCTCAAGAATTTTAACACTGCTGCATTCCTAGAATTCGAACATGAGACCACTGGTTAAGCTGGAAGAGACTCAAACCATTTCATCCAAGCGCTCTTAGTTAACACGCCTTCCCATTAACTAATCAAAGACAGTTGTCCTTAATAAACAAATAAAACAGAACTACGTTTCCAACTTTCCATCAATCAATTCGCGTGATTCAATTCAGTCAGCCTCTAAATCCAACATATTTTGTTTTCCATCGTTCGCGAAATTAGCTTCAGAGAAAAAAAAAAAAAAAATGGAGACGGAAATTCAATCGAATACGAAAAGCCATTTCAAGCTGTGGAGCGAGCTGGAATTGCAGGTGTTCGCCGACAAGTTCTCGATCAGATCAGTTGAATCGCCGGAGGAAGGCTTCTCGATAAGCCGGCTGGACGGAAATATTGACAAGCTGAACGGTATTTTATTTCTCTTCTTCTTCTTCTTTGTCTTCTTACCTTTCTCGTTATTGCTAATGAATTTTTGTAGCTGCAAAAATGTGAATTCGATTTTTTTATGCTACTTATTGAATTGTGTATAAGCGAAATTGATGTCCGGTTGTTTGATCTCGGACACGTTGCTTGTTTGATTTGAGGAATTGTTGCATTTGAGGATTCAGTTAAGCATTTATTTTATCTATTACATTTTTACGTGATTATGAGGATTCAGCTCATGTGTCTAAACGAATAAGAAGAATTGATTTGGTTTATGATTTTGATTAGACGTTCAGCTCAACTGGTGGCTTTATTATGTACGTGGAGGATGAAGTTTTTAGTTAGTATCCTTGCAGGACGTGCTGGATGGAAATAGCATATCAATAGTAGCTTAGATTTATTAGATCATCCTATTGATGGAACACAGATCACAGAAAGACGATTTGTCTAATCTTAAGGAGCACGTGCCTTAATCCTGATTTGTTGGGATGATACCAATCAAAACTACCATAAGAAATTTCACTGATGGTTCAACTTAGAATCAATTTGATGTATCTCAATGGAAGAATGTTATGAATCATTTCCTTTATTTCTTATCTTTTCCTTCTGCGCGAGAGTGAATTTGTTTCTCAATTAATTTCTTTTTTCTAGGTTATGACTCTTCTGGAAAGCCTTCCAAAGTCTCGACTATATATGGGGTTGTTGGAACAATCAAGTTGCTAGCAGGTGGATTTTGGAAAGATACATAGAGTTGTCTGTCAGGCCTGAAGAATTTCTTTCTCACTTTGCATCCTCATTATCATCTTTTAATTTACATTTAAGGCGATATGTCCGTCTAATGCATTTGATGTTATGATACTTAGTTTATTTGATAATATGTCATTGTTTTGTGTACCTTACTGTTCAATGGGGCGGCTGCAATCTGTAGGTACATATATTCTAGTTATAACGTCTAGGAAGGAAGTTGGAACTTATCTTGGTTATCCTGTTTATCTTGTCACATCAATGAAGTTCCTGTCCTGCAACGAAGCTTCAAGGTTCTT